AGTATTTTGGTTGGACTGCACTCATCTGGATGAATGGATACAATCATTATGGTTGAAATGATGTTATCATACTATTGTCGTAGGATGATAGACCTCCTAGATTTTTATTTTTACAGTTCCGTGTTCCCGAAGAACCATTATTCCCAGGGCTCCCCACAAACAGACTTTTGAACATTCTCTCATACTCTCTCCCATAGGCAAAGTTGTTACCTCAGGCCTGACTTTAATTCTTTGTGAAGCCTTATGCACAAAGATGTTGTAAAATGTCTATTTTGAAAGAAGCCTATTGCAAAAGTGAAGCCTTTTTTTCAGACATGAAGCTACTGTATGAACTAAGAATAGGGCATATCAAATTCTAAATGTCTCTCCTTGAAACTTTAGATATTATTTAATTTGATTTATCTCCTGCCTTTCTTTCAAGAGGTAATGGAATTAGCCATAGCCCTTCCTCTTTTCCCCGCCTTCTGGATAACCTTATAAAGTAGATAAGGGGACTGACTCATGGTCACTCACTGAAATTATTTTAACCATTACATCACACTAGGGGGAGGGAGGCATTTCAGCATGGAGTCAGAGTTGGCAGAGGAAATTAAAGAAACTGCTATTGATGCATATATCTGATCATCTGTTTTATGATGGTCATATGACCACGGGACTGTGCAAATTACCATAAATGCTAACCCTTGAACTTTGTTCATGTGACCATGGGGTGGGGAACTTGACTGTTGGAACTTTGAATCCAGGTCATAAGCAATCCCAAAATAGGTCTATTGTAATTGTGCTATGCGGCCAGTCATAAGTCAAGGATTACTCACGTGCTTCTTTATGCTGTCAACCACAGGTCTGCCCTCTCCAATTCTGCACCGAAGAGGCAACTGAGACATTTCAATCAATTAGCCAAGATAATAAAAATAAAATATTAGTAATAATAAAGTCATCTTCAAGTTGACTTGTCTTGACATCATAGTGGCTGCTCTTGCTTCCTTCTGTTATGTTCTTTTGGGTTTCTGAGATTTTTCTGGTCCAGGTGGTAACTAGATTTGGACCTGCTTATCTTCCTAGGTGCTGCCACCTGCTTGTCAGATTATTATTATTACCTCCAAGATTACATTTAAAAGTAGAATAAAAATTCTGAGATAGATCTTACGAGGCTATACATTTACATATTTTGAAATGATAGTTTAACTTTCTCTTTTCTGTTAATGTGTTTATGGGATTAGTGATATGAATGAACAAAAAAAGTGTCCCAGCTCAGTGAATCAAGCCTGCCAGTGTTCAAAATGAAGCCATATTTCCATAAATGAATATACATGGGATACTAATAACTATGCATATTGTTGTTTGTCTGAGCTTTAAAGTGGGTTTTGCATTACCTTTAAATATGTCTATGAAATATTCATTACCATGTTCTGTTCTGCTTGATTGTATTTCCAGATCATTTAAACGATGCTTTACCATCTCCATTTTCAGTTTTAGAATGGAATAACTTTAATACTCCTATTAGTAGCAGACAGCTGTGTGTGTGGTTTTTTTTTTATTTATAATGTATATTTTTATTTTTGGGTTTGTGAGTTTTTTACTACAGTATTTTTCTTTGTAAAAAAAATCAAGAGTTAAAAAGGAAATGTACTAATCAATAAAAGTTCTTTTCAGCCTTAACACATTTAGTTAGGCTGAAAAGAACTTTTCTTGCTTAGTACATTTCTTTTTGTACTGCAGTTGGCAAGAACAGTCAAATCACCATCGTTCCAAAGTAAGAAATCTGAGAAAAGCACTCATACATTTTAGATTAATTTAGCATATTCCTCAATTTTTCAAATGTACAGTCCAAGAATACGTATTATTTCCATTCAGGATTGAATTTTATGAAACATCTATGTTTTAAATAAAAGGCACATGGAAGGCAAGGATTTTGAGAAGCATTTCTTACTACAAACTAATACAAAGAAGCTGAAGAACTGAACTGGGGGAAAAACTGTGCTTTTCTGAAATATTTTATCCGATGTTTTGGCTAGCAGGTAATATGGTTGACAGTAAAACAGTATTCATCCCAAAGATATTGTCTGTATCAATCAATCAATCAATCAATCAATCAATCATCCTTGGTATAAAATAAATAAAACTAGTATGAAACAAAATCTAGTAACAAGAATGGCAAAAGTCAGAACTGAAAATCACATGAATCTGATTGCACAAAATGGGAGTAGCTCAAAGGTTTGCTTCTGAGTGGCCACCAACTGGTCTTCAGAGAATGGAGTAGTGGTGAATTTGGATGGGTGGGGGGTTGTAACTTTCCTAACTGTTCATCTGGATTCATGCAGAATCTGGATGTGCCAAATTATTTTGGGCTTTAGAGGGCATAATTGTATTTGGAAATAAACTGATAATTTGAGAGTTTATCAATTATTATGTGGGGGCAAAAGTAAGTCTCTAGCTCTGCTTCAACTGCATCTACTACAATCTAGTAGAAGGGGGGCATAGATGTATTAATCAATGAATTGATCCAAAAAGTGCTTTTAAATTGTCTTTGTATACACAGAAATATTAAATTGTTATGCCTGAAGAGGTCCTCTTGATGATTGAGGGAAACGTTGCACTATAATATCTTTCAGCCTGTAACAATGTGCATTGATTATGTGCCGTCAAGTCAATGTTGAATCTTAGTGGCTACGGAATTTTCTCCATGACAATTTGTCCTAAACTAATTTTTCATCTTCCAGTGGTGGAGTCATTGCTACTTTGCTGCTGGTTTCCTTTTCATCTCTTTCCTTTTGCCTTTCCCAGGATTAGAGTTTGCTATAGAAAGCCAGATCTTTACATGATGTGTCTGAAATAGGACAATTTGAGTCTGGTCATTTGTACTTTGTGTGAGAACTCTTGATTGATTGTTCATTGATCCACTTGCTTGTTTTCTTGGCTATCCATGTTATGCGCAGGAATCTTCTCCATCACCAAAGTTCAAAAACACCAATACTCTTCTTATCCTGCTTCATCAAAGTCCAACTTTCACGTCCTTATAACCTTACAGAAACTACTATAACTTGCATGATTCTGATCATTGTGGGTTTAAATACAACATGACATTTGAATATCTTTTCCAAGACTTTCATGGTTGCTGTACCATGTTTTAATTTTGTATTTATTTCTTGATATGTATATACTGTATAACAAGACCAATTCTACACATACTACCATGCTTATATGTGATAAACAGTGATACAAAAAATTGAGTAAGGACACAAAATAATTTTTAAATCTGCTTCTAGCTTTACATTAAAAATGAGCTTTGGAATTTAAATTTCTATATATCTTTAATTCAGAAGAAATTAAAGGTAAATTTTAATTATTTTCCATTTCAGGAAATATTTCACTGCCAAGAAAATGTGTTTCATTATTTAAAATATTATTGTTTATATGCCATCCTGGATACTTAGTGACCTCATTGATAGACCTCCTCCAGAATTAGCAGCTTTATATCTTCCAGTGGTGCATCCCTCATTGATGAGTCCATCCAGTTTGCATTTTCCTTCTTTTCCAAAACCATGGATTTATTAAAGGAGATTATTTTTGCATAATGTGTCAAAAAAGGTTATGTTTCAGTTCTCATTTTATAATTCTTTCTTCTGAACTGTGATCACGTTGCACATACGGGCCAGTGCCTGGATGACAATCCATATATATATGGACATTTTTAAGAAGATGTTGGATATTCATTTGTCTGAAGTGGTGTAGGATTTCCTGCCTAAGCAGGGGGTTGGACTAGGAGACCTTCAAGATCCTTTCCAACTCTGTTATTCTATATTATAATTACCATGATAGAAGGCTGGTGGGATGCTAATGAAATAAATAATTTTAAATGTTATTTTCTTTCTTGCTCTCTATGCTTATAAAGATTAATTCAGGCAGTATTTTCATTTCAAGATTAATCGGGGCATATGGAAGGAAGAAAATAACATAGGGTTTCTTAATTTACCTAATTTACAACCTGTCACTAACTATTTTAAATTAATGTTTTAATCCAGTGTTTCTCAACCCAGCAACTTTAAGACATGTGGACTTCCACTGTCAAAATTCCGCAGCCAGATGCTTGAGAAATTATGGGAATTGAAGATTACTTACTTTAGAGTTGTCAATGTTGAGAAATAATGGATTAGACAGTATACAGGCTATGGATGTAGGACTAAAAGTAGTAGTGGCTCCACAGCTTTCTACAAGCAGTATGTATTATATGATAGAGTAGGAAAGCTTATTGCTTAATTTATCATCTCATATCATCTAATCCCACCAAAGCATTATTTATGCTAAACTTAGTCTCTATTATGCACACATTCTTTAAAAAAAGCATTTGAGTGATTCTCTTTTTGGTTTTAGATTCTTTTTCTTTTGCCCCACAAGCTTCTAGTCAATAAATAGGTTATTTATTTAAAAAAAATGTTGGAAATGTGATTTTTTCAATTTTATTTTATTTATTTTATTTCCCAAAGTGAGGAGGAGTAATATGTTCCCACTAAGTTGGAAGTGGAAAGCGCTAAAGTAATCTACTTGTGTATGAATAATGTGTAATATGAATGACTTACCAATGTAATAGAGCTCAGAATTACAATCATAAATCATGGTGATTGTTAAGTGGGTCACCATATCACTGTGTCCAATTTTGGGATCTTTTTTTGTAATTCCTAAATATTACTTTAAAACATGTGCCATTGTATGCCATTTCCTTTATCAATGTAAAGAAAAGAGTATAGGAATATAATCCTGAAAATTTGCCCTTGCATCTAGATTTGTGCTTGTCTTTCTATGCATGCATGCATGGATAATATTGTTTCCAAAGCACCTATTTTATTGTTTAAGATAAATATTTATAACACAAAAGTTTCAGCAACTTATTTCAGTTCCTACTAACAAGGCAGTTTCTTTGATTTCTTTAATCTGGAAAGCAAATTGCCATACAATTATCTTGGCAGGAAATAGTAATCTAGCTTTATTTATTTCCCATTCAGCCCCTGTGCTTCCTGGGGCCTACCAACAAAATCAGCCCCAAGGATATGGTTACATGCACCAGACTAGTGTGTCATCTATGAGATCAATGCATTCACAGCCACATTCAGCTAGCTTGGTAAGTATTAAATCAAAATATATTTAAATATATTTTTTCTATATTTGATACTTTAAAAAGTTGCCAGAATGCAAATTTCAAATTAAGTAAGAAATGTTTTCTTATTACATGGGCATCTACAAGAATGAAATTGGTTTGGTTTATGGTTATGGTTTATTAAACTTGTATGCCACCCTATTTCCCGGGGGGACTCAGGGTGGCTAAAAAACTTATAGGGGAGGGGGTAATACAAAAAACAAACAAGACAAAACAATTACAGAAAAACAGATTAAAACTCCTCAATAGCCACAACAATTCGAGTGGGGCTGGGAACTCATCAGCCCCAGGCCTGCCGGAACAGCCAGGTCTTAACGGCTTTGCGGAAAGCCTGAAGGGTNAGCCGGTGAGATTTGAACCGCTGAACTGCTGATCTAGCAGTCAGCTGAAGTGGCCTGCAGTACTGCACTCTACCCACTGCGCCACCTCGGCTCAAAATCAGTTTGACATATTTTTTTTCTGAAACATTAAAAATCATTTGTAACAAACTCTTATAAAACAGCAAATAAAATTGATAAATTTATATATAAATGTGAAATAATGATTTGCAACATGTCTTTTATGACTGGGGTAGCATCATGGAAACAACTGTGTCCTCAGATATCTTGTCAATTGGCATTTGAGAACAGGTAGATTTGGGGCTCACAAAATATTACTGCAACTTGGCAGTCAGCAGAGATGGCTTCAAACTATCATAGCACTCATTAGAATAAAGCTTCATTTGGTACCATTGAGAAGGTAAGAAATGAAGACCTGGATGGGGTTATGGCCAAGCATTGTTTTGCATTGTTTCTGAATTTGGATTGCGGAACATAAACAACGTGTTTATAAGAATTTGAAAGTTTCATAGTAATTTTCTCCAGACAATATGAATTAATTCTCAAAAACAATATAAGCAAAAAATATAATTTCCATGCAGTATAATTTGTTTAGATATAATTTATAAATTTAGATATACTTTTATGTTTTTATGTTACAAAATTGTACCAAGGAAGGAAACAAATATGGGTAAAATTCTGTATTACAGGCAGCAAATTCTAGACCAGACATGTCAAACTCAAGGCCTGCGGGCCAGATCTGGCCTGTGATGTGTTTAGGTCTGTCCCACAAGCAGACTAGTAGGAGGAGGTGATTGAGTAGTTACCTGCCCACTTCATCGGGTATCTTGTCAGTGGCAACAGTGCCTACTGTCTGAGAGCGAGTGAGTGGTGAATGAAGGAAAGGAAGGAAAGAGAAAGGATGGGAGGGGCTTGGATCATGTGTGTAGTAGGAGAGTGTGCTGAAGAATTGGTAGCACCACACAGGGTTAGGGGAAAGTGAGCTAGAGCTGCAGTGTTGCTGGGGTTCTGCTGAGGTCCTGGGATCAGCACATGTGGCTCCTGCTGATCTGTGCTTCTAGAAGCCTTGGCTTTCAACTGGCAGGAGCAAACAGCCTTGAGGAAAGGAGTCAGCTGGAGCTGTGGGGTTGCTAGGGCTCAGCGGAGACCCCAGAATCAGTGCATAAAACTCCAGCTGATGAGCATTCCGTGCAAAGGCCAGGTGGGCAGCATCAGCCACATGGATGGAAGAGCCGAGGTGGCGCAGTGGTTAAATGCAGCACTGCAGGCTACTTCAGCTGACTGCAGTTCTGCAGTTCAGCTGTTCAAATCTCACCAGCTCAGGGTTGACTCAGCCTTCCATCCTTCCGAGGTGGGTAAAATGAGGACCTGGATTGTTGTTGGGGGCAATATGCTGACTCTGTAAACCGCTTAGAGAGGGCTGAAAGCTCTATGAAGCGGTATATAAGTCTAACTGCTATTGCTATTGCTATGGAACAGTGATTGATGCTGGAGCTCTGCCTGAGCCCCAGAGAGTGACATGCCCAGAACAGAGAAAAAGATGAGGCAGGGAGAGATGATAGGAGATAAAAGTAGAAGGTTTTAACGGGAAAAGGAGAGGAGTGAGAGGAACAGAAGGCGAGAGGGAAGAGAGCAGAGGCTTCTAAAGGGGAAACCTGAAAGAGAGAGAAGAATGAGTGAAAGGGAGGAAAGCAGAGGGATCAACAAAGGAGCAGAGGCTGTGGAAGGAAACCCTAGCAGGCAGTGCAAGAGAGAGAGGAGAAAGAGAGAGACACAGAGAGAGACAGACAGAGACAGAGAGGAAGAAGGGCCAACCAGCCACCTGAATACCATCCCATTATGTGACCAGCCTGTTGGAAGAGACTTAGACCCCAGAAGATCCAGACTCACAGCATCCTACTGAGACTCCTGAACTAATATGATACATAGTCTTACATTAAACTGGCCCTTTGAATTCAATGCTAATGCGGCCCTCAATGAAATTGAGTTTTACACCCCTTTCTAGATTGAAATGAAAACTTGTTACTATTTTGACTACAAACAAAATCTGAATCTACTCCTATGGCTAGAGTAATGTAAATAAAGCAGTGTTTCATACAAACAATTAGATAAAATCACTATAAACAGGAAATTTGATACTGAAGATTGTTTCCCAGCTCTATTTGAAAATAACTTCAGACTGTGTTGACTCCTATAATAATGTCTTTTGATAATTAGAAAGAGTATGTTTCAGCTACAGCAGGATAGCCAATGTCTTTCTAATAAAAGAGCAGCTAAATTTTCTCCTTGACTTTTTTTTTTACCTACTGTCCTGTTGTTTCTTTTTGGGGGAAAGATCTCAAAGTTTGGCGCACAGATCCTGGCTCCATCTTCGACCTTGATCCTTTGGAGGATAATATTCAGTCTAAAAGTCTACATGTGCTTTTGGGTATTGTTTGATTATGGTTTTCTGCATTGGTTTGCTATAGTCCTAGAAGTAAAATTGACCTAGTAAATTGCACTTGTGTGAAAATAACAGCATACTATTTTTTTTTTACTAGGACTGCATGAATATGGATATTGCATATGAAATTTCCCTTAGTCAGAACTAATTCACTTTCATTTAGTGAGACTGATTAGAGATGATGTCAAATGTAGACCAACTCATTAGATTGGCACCAGGTTATATAAAAAAAGGCCTGTTGGGATTTAATCAGCTGCCCAGCTTCTGTAACAATATGAAACTATTTACAGAATGTATGATTCTAGAAGGGCTTTTGTGCCTTTGTTTCATATCACCTTGTTTGATTCATGAAGTTTTATTGGGATTCACATGGGTGATGTTTTCTATTTACTATATGTTTTCTATTTTCATATTTCCTGTGCCTATTTTAATCTTTTTTTCTGGTCAGATAAAAGCCATATGAGAGAAAAAGGGGAGGGAGCCAAAGTATTTTTTTTTTTAGTAATAGCATTAAGTGTCAAAGTTTCACTTTAACGTTTAAATATCTGTGTTCAAATAGTGTGCTTCGTTCCTAAGTAAATGGAAGCTAACAAACCTCTAGTTCAGGGATATCAAACACAAGGCCCACAGGGCCATCCTGGAAAACGTAAGGGGTCACTCCCTGTCGCTTCGGCCCAGTCTATCCAATGTGAAGAGGAAACATTCCAGCAGTTTCGGGAGTGGCATCATGTCCGCCCACCCTCCCCCTCGAGATCAACCATACCCTGATGCATAGGCCCTTACCCTAACCCTCAGTGAAATTGAGTTTTACACCCCCCTGCTCTAATTGCTTACACATAACAGCAGTTGTTTATGTTACATATGTGTTGTGTGAGGGAAAGACGCAGGAGCCATGGAATCAGAGAGTAAGATGTTTATT